AAGGGAGGGGCTGAGGAAGGGAGGGAGGGGGGTATTACCTCGAGATCGTAGAACTGTCCATGAATATCACCACACACTGTTACAGGGGTTGAAACAGGCTAAACAAATAAACAAGATTTTAAAAATCATATTTAATTATTTATAATTTATAATTTTCTAATCTAAAACTATTTTCTAATTTCTGTTTTATTACAAAGTAACAAAATTATTACTAATAAGTAAAAAGTTACTAAAACTATTTTCTAGTTTCTAACTTAATAAATTGTAGACCTTGGATATGACAAACTATTAATTCTGCTAGCATAATTAGTCAAAGTTTGAAATATCATAGATTTACACCATCAGGTTCCAAAGACAGAGAGATTAGAAAATTATAACATGCGGCGAGTAAGAAATGATTACAGTATAAGATTTCATAATATTTTTTCGCGCATTTTCAAAATTTTACAAAAATAAAAACTTTAAAACATAATTTTTTTTTAATTTAATCATTCATAAACCTCCTCTTGAGGTCCCACACAAAATTTGAGCCCAATCGGTTCAGCCGTTTTGACGTTACTTGGATACAAATGGACAAAACAGACAGATAGATGAACAAAGTATATATATAGATTGTGTAAGTTTAATAGGTACAGTGATAACCATAAAACTCTGGAATAAGAAGACAACTTTTAGACTCAAGTTATTACTTAAAGTAGTCCATGAAACATAAGACAATGTACAGTGTAGACAGACGCAAATTATTTAATAAGTGATTAGATAAGTTACTAGTAAAACTATTTGCGTTGTAACACAATAGAATACACTTAATTTTTGCATAAATTTCGTCTTCTATCCAACAGTTTTCTGGTTCTAACTGTATTAGTTAAGAAACTAGTATAAGTAACTGCAATTACCCCCCCCCCTCATATATGAATGTCCCACCTGCACATTAGATTCCTCGAGAAGTAGATCACAAACCAAATCACAAAGTTGCTTCAACTCATTTTCAGGTAGATACTTGCATTCCTAAATCAATCAATATATCAATCAATCAATCAATCAATAAACTATTGATCAATCAATTTAAAGACAGGACAAAGATGAATTATACTTTTATGCATTAGAAGATGTTAAGAGTTAAATGTTTGCAGATGTGTCAATATAAGATTATAACTATTTCTTCAGTTTTTTCTAATCAATCAATCAATCAATTAATCAATCAACCAATTTCACCAAGTCGGACCATTTAAGGCCATGATGCCATGCTCGAAAAATGGCACATATAACTGTACTTTACATACTAAATAAAAACTATTACTAAAGCCTGAAGGTGTGTATTTGAAAAAATATGTGATTTCTTTCTTAAACATTTTCCATCAATTTTTTTACTCCGTTTAAAAATCAGGATTAAATAAATATTTTTGTCACGCCCCAGGAAACATTTTTTTTTCCNGGGTTACCTTGGATATTTCGACCCATTTGTCTAGATCAGGTCCACCCATTTTATCTTGTTGTATTGTCCTCAAATCCACATCTGAAATGTCAGGAATGGTTTGGCATAAAGTTTATATCACAGACGGGACTAGGTTACATAGTATTCACATTTCATAACACATTTTCTAAACAAGATATTAACATAATTACAGGGGTATATATTTACTATCAAAAATTAACTCTTTAACCAAAATATTGATCCGCCGAGAGTAACAGGACTTGATTTTTTCAAAATATGAAAAATTATATTTAATGAATTTTCCGGAGGATTTCAAAAAAAATAAATACCCCTGCAATTCAGATAAATAATAACTTAAATATTTGACTTAAAGCGCCAATATAGATATTAATTGCCCATAAATAGAGATACATTATTAACACGATAAATCATAACATAAACTAATAATTTTATAACAAACGAAGGAAAATCGTAAAAACAACCTAACATGGGTAAATTGAAAAAATACCATCACTAAAACAATTCAACTAAGATTTCATTGCACTTCAACAAATTTCACATTGCACAATTATGATGCGTAATAAAAATAAAATATCATTATCTCTCATTTGAAAATAAAATCAGATTTCTTGATAAGCTTATCTTCTTGGGTGATTAAAAAATGCGCAAAAATCGAGAAAAAAAATATCCTAATGACTAGGTTATTACTGAAAAAATGTCAAACCCCCGGGGGTTAAAGCATAATCTACCCCCTCTTCTAAAAGGTATGGTTATAAGGGAAAGGGGGGGCAGGGGGGGGGGTTACAGTGATAATAAAATAAAATTCATCTAAACAAATCCAAAACACGTGCAGAATTCATCAAATATTTTGATTAAAAACATAAAAAAAAAACAATTATGGTTAAAATATGATTCTTGGATTTTGCTGCTTACTCGAAAATAAGATAATATCAAAAGATAACCGATGATAGTTTGCATTAATATCAAAATCCACTTCTTTCTTATACATTTAGAAAAATAACATTTAATAAAATGTAAATAGTTGAAAATGTTTCCAGTGGGCGCATTTTTTATCAGTTTTAATTCAGTAAATATAATCTTCCATTTAAAATGGAAATTTTTTAAAAGGATGAAAGCTGTTTTGCATGATTATTGATTAGTCAATCACAAATTATTTCTCTAAGATCTCATTACTTCTAACAGAGAAACTTTTATCAATGTATAAACTTTGCTTGGCTGTTTGTTTGTTTGTTTGTCTGAATCCAATAAACGTCAAAAAGGTTAAACATTTCGGGATAACTTTTTGTGGCATCTCTCTTGCCCCCATACAAAGTTTTGCTCTCTTTGGCGTAAGTTTAATTTTGGGACTCCTGCATAGGGCTTTCCGCGAACAAAACGTTTCGCAATTGGCAAAATTTTTCGCGAAATTTCGCATTTTTTTGCGAAAATGAATAAAGCGAAAAAGTGCGATAACGATGCGAAATTTCGCGAAAATGTTTTCGCGAGAAAAAAATCCACGAAAACCATTAGTGTTGTAGCTGCAACAATTAATTGCGCAAAAAAATTGTGGAATTCTCTGCTCTGAGAGCTCAACATTTCAAGTTTTATTAAACTTGAAACTATCATATTAATAATGTTGTGGAGAAGCTAGATTATTTACTTTAATAAATGTTTGATAAAGTGAATTTGATTTCTCTAACTATTTTATTAAGTTTCTGTCCTTCCATGTACGTTCATCTAAATTCAGCTAGCCATTAGCCAGCCAATTACAAGAAAGAATCTTTGAAACGAAATTTTCGTCGAACTTTTTTTCGCGATACGATTTTTCTTTCTCGCTTGAACCCCTAATCCTAATGCATCTTCCATAATTAAATGCATAATTAAACCGACGCCTAATTCAAACACGCATATTACAGAGGGGCTCACACAGACATTGTGCAGTGTACACAGACCCGTTTCACTTCAAAAGTTTGATTGGTGAAACTATTAGCATTAAAACGACATCAAACCAAAATACGATTGCTTAAATGTCATTTTCATTTTCTACAGTTTTATGAGTCTCATTTTTGACTTTCAAAGAATTGTTAAAAATGGGCGTGGTTTGGAGAGGAGAGGGCGGATCCGCCGAGGGAGAGTGATGCAGGTGATGTAGAGATGGAGGGAGGAAAGGGTAGAGGAGAGGTATTGAGGGAGGGAGTAGTTAAAGATGAATCTGAAGAGAGGAGAAACGGACTAATTCTTCCAGCTCCCTTATTTCTACAATATTCAAATCATTTGATAAAAAGTAAAAACTTCAATCTCCGAATGAAAGAGTTAAAACGACAAGTTTTAAATACCAAGAGTAAAATATTTAAAAAGCTGATTTTAATCAGGATTATACAGAATTTTTAAAAATTATTTTCGTTTTTGCATATATTTGTGTACAAACTGCAAGCTTCCTAAATGTGGCTGATTCCCCCACCCCATTGAACTTCTTTGATCATTACTGGAAAAGGTATACCCCTTAATAAATAATAACAATAAATAAATACAAATCCCCAAAATAATTATTAAAGGGACTGTAAAGGAAAATGAAAGAGGGTAAAGGCTGAAACCTGAGAGTCTCAGGAGTTGATTGAGACATACAAGAGTTCTATCTGATGTTCCTGTCTCGAGAAATTGATAAAAAATTGATATAAAACACTTTTCCTTTACAGTCCCTTTAAAGTTGAATAGAAAAACTGACCCTGTGTTAAGAGGAGTTGAGGATCGAGAACCTAGTTCACTATTCAGATCCTTCACTTCGTCCCTTAAACAAATATGATGTTTTTATGCTTTTAAAAAAAAAATTTTTTAGAGCAACTTCTTACATTATTTTTAGAGCAAATTATTTATTATTTAGATCCTTTACTTTGTCCTTTAATCAAATATTATGTTATTTTTGATATATATATATACATAATTTGCTTGTCTGTTTGTTTGTTTGTTTGTATGTATCCAATACGTCAAACCAGCTTAACGAATAGAGCCCAAATTTCGTGTGAGACCTCCCCAGGGAGTAAGGAATAGAAGGGAGAGACAACTGACGCGGTTCGCCCTACCATATGATTATACATGCTTTGCAGACGGTACTCCATTTTATATCGAGCTGTTTGGTTTCTTTAGTTGGGCCCCACAGGAAAAATATGTATTGGCGAAACTGGTCAAAGAAAATTGAGCCATGACAGGTTTATAAATGATAGGAAGATATCAGATAAAATCTTAATGAGAGTCGTCTTGGATACAACGGACTTTGTAATTCGTAATTGTTGGAAATCTAAAAATGAACCTTCACCATAAGATAAGATATCAATTATCATATCAAATTAAATCCAATAGTTTTAAATCATTTAAAATATTTTTCATTCCACTTTATTCTTAGTTATCTTGGTTTACCTTAGGCTGGAGATACAGAGTTGCAGGTCCCTGAGTTTACTACTTCTAGACTTAGTATCCAAGAGGTTTAATATACTCCTCTCCTCTAGGCTAGGGAGTGGTACTACTCCTTCCAGCACACATCTACACAATACAAGGTTTAATATATACTCCTCACCTCTATAGGCTAGGGAGTGGTACTACTCCTTCCCAAACTTAGGTTTATTTTGATCATGCATTATTTAAATGTTTATGTAAAAAATGATTATGGATTAAACTAGATTTTTTTTACCTCAAGCTCCTTATATGCGCAAGACTAGATCTAAGAGCTCTGTTCATTTGTTTGAGTTGAAAAACATGGTTTGATCTCTCTGTTCTCAATCCGTCCCGTTCCTGATGCAGGATCTCCAGTCTAGACTCTAGACTAGAGATATGGGAGCTGGTCAATCTCTCCTCCTCACTCAACTAGATATACAAACATGCATATATATATATACCCGGGGATCTACTTTCAGATTCAATCAATCAATCAATGATATTTAAATATTAGGCTTTTAAGGCTCTTCGCACCCATTTTCCCTTTTAACAAATATAGATTTAAAACTGTTGCTCTGAAAGTCGCCATTTTTATCCATTCCAAAATTTTGAGGATTTATCTATTTTATTTCGCACATTTTTCAAATTAAGGATTGTCGACATTTTTGTCCGACAAAATTGTTAACTTTGACAGTCCATAACCCTTCCATTGCTATACAAAATTTGGACCCGATCGGTTCAGCCGTTTTGACGTTTATTGGATTGGAAAAACAATTCCCTGTTTTAATCAAACCGCAACCGTATTTTAAATATCATAAATAGTTGACTGATTCGTACATTTATTTATAGAAGAAATATTATTTGATCTTTTTTGTAAATATAGACCAATTGTCAATTGACGTAAACATCAAATTAACGGGTTCCATAACATTTTCGATCCTTTGAAAAACTTTACTTTTTTATCAAATTGGGAATATCATTTATAAATCCTGATTAAAAGTTGTCAAATTGATTTAAAAATAATTAATCAGTCCTATTCAAGTCCTTCATCTTCAAACTTTCAAAACTAATCAAATATATTCGGAACTTTAATATCAGTATTTGCGTAAAACCTAGTATTATTGCGACTTTTTTCAAATGGAATCTGAGCTGAAAACTTTAGAATGGGATATCCTTAATCCTGATCGGATAATTAATCTGGAGATTAAAAATGAAAGGAGAACAAGCAATATTTAATCTCGAGATTAAGAAAAAGAGTGGATTAAGCATTAATCCCGATATCCACCATTCTAGAGTTTTCAGCTCTGTTAAGCTAAGGATATATGTGTCCCTTCAGAAAACAATTAATCTTTGGTTTTGAAACAAAACTTAATTAGGTCATTTCAGTCCTTTTGACGCAAAGAGAGATAAAACAACTTACTTTAACATACCTTAAACTGAACCTGGCTGATTTCTCTCTGTAGAAGTGCAACATTAGCCTTCTCTTGTACTAGACTACTCCTTGCCTGATCCACCTGGTCCTGGAGCAGTATCCGCCCCTGTTCTAAACTCTTCTCTTGAGCTCTTAAGTTCTCCAGGTCCTGGTGTAGACTGGTGATTATTAGATTCTTCTCTCTCTGCTCTGATCCAATCCTTGAGATAAGATTGGACAGTTCTGCTTTCAACTTCTCATTCTCCGCAGTTAATTTATTGAAAGATAAGTTGATTTCTAATTTCATATTTTCCATTAATTCTTTAACATTTTCCTGGTCTAACTTTAACCGAGAACTCTGTTCGACACATACTTCAAGTTCTGTATAAAACTGGATTTTTTCTTGTTCTAAAACTAAAATCTGCTCTCTAGATTCAGCAGACATTTTGGTTAATTCTTTTTTTAAACATTCTGCAGACTTTTCTAGTTCTTTTATAATCTCTGCTTTGTTTTCAACAAGCTCTAATAATTCTTTCTCTTTGGTTTGTAGCATCACTATCTGGTTTTGTAGAAGGATATTTTCTGACAAACAAGATTTAAGTTCTAAGGTGGATTTTTGTAATTCTTCGGTTTTTGTTTTAAATTCGGACTTCAGCGTTTCTAGTTCGTCCCCTAATTCATGTTCCAAGCTCCTAAATTTCTCCAGTTCCTGTTCTAGGTTTTTATACTTCTTCAGTTCCTGTTCAAGGTTCCTAAATTTCTCCAGTTCCTGCTCTAGGTTTTTATACTTCTTCAGTTCCTGTTCCAGGTTCCTAAATTTCTCCAGTTCCTGTTCCTGGTTTTTATACTTCTCTAGTTCCTGTTCCAAGTTTTTATACTTCTCTAGTTCCTGTTCCAAGTTTTTATACTTCTCCAGTTCCTGTTCCAAGTTTTTATACTTCTCCAGTTCCTGTTCCAAGTTTTCATACTTCTCCATTTCTTGTTCCAGATTCTTAAGTTTCAAATTTGTTTCCGATTCCTTGCAAGCCCCGTTTTGAATGCTATTATGTACAGTATTTAGCTGAGCTAGTACGCTCTCAAGTTCAACCTTCTCTAACTCAGTATCTTTAAAAATGGTTTCACAACTAATTCTCATTTGTTCAAGTCTTGCCAACTCTAATTTTAACCCCTCATTTTCTTCCTTGAGTTGGGTTAGATGGTTTTTAATGACTTTATTTTCTACATCTAAACTACTAATCTGATTCTGTCTTAGATCCAACTCTGTGTGCAAAAGATCATATTGATTTTTAATTTTCTGTTTCTGTTTATCTGAATCCAAGCACTCATTCTTCATTCTTTCGTGTTCAGATTTCAAACAAACTTGATCTGCTTTAATCTCCATTCTATCCTTCTCTAAGTCAAAATATGAAATCTTCAGCTCTTCATATTTTTTCTCCATATTTTTCATGTCTTCTTCAACTGAAGATATTTTAAGTTCTTTCTCTTTCAATTGCGTCAGATTTGTCTTTATTTCCTCTTTGTCCTTTTCCATTTTCAAATATTTCTTCTTGATTTCTTCATTCTCCTTCTTTCTCATTTCTTGAGTTGTCAACATTTCTATTTTTTCCTGTTCTAGATTCGTAGTTTTCATCACAAGTTCTTCTTTCATCTTGATTAGGTGTTTTTTCTCTTCATCCTTGTCTGTTAAGTTAATCTTCAATTCTTCCATCTCCTCGGTCATCTTTGCTAAATATTTTTCATAACTGACGCATTTTAACTTTAATTCATTATTTTCCTCTTCTACTAGTTCAGATTTAGTCTCCGAATCTGTCAATTCCTTGTTCTTTTTCTCCTCTGTTTCCTTTACCATTCTATATTTAGTCTCAAGTTCATATTTTTCTTGTTCTAATACTGTTAAATTCAACAAGATCTTTGTTTTTTCCTCCTCTATCCTTCCACATATAAGCCTAACTTTAATCACCTCTTCTTCAAGTTCTTTATATGTCATTTTTTCAGAGTCTTCTTTTACCTCTTCTGAATCATTCTCATTTTCTTCAACATTGTCGTCCTTGACCTCAACTGTTTTCTCTTCCAAGTTAAAAACCTTGGACCTTAGCTGGTCGTTCTCCATGTTCATATCCGCCATGATGTTGATTGACTCCCTCAAGGTTCTCTCCAGCTCGTCAATCTTCAGCTTCTGCTCCACATTCTCTATCTTCACCAGCAGCTGCTCCTTGTGCTCGCAGTTCTTGTTGTACTCATCTCTACTCAGGAGTTCATTGTTCTGTAGCTTAAAATCAGGATCGTGCGTCACACTGTTGGTTTCAATACTGGAACATTCGTCTTCATTGTTATCTACGTTTTTCAGGCTTCCTAAGGTTTCTTTGTCCTTGGGACACTCTTCTTCTTGGCTATTAATGGGCGTTTCAAAAACAAATTTATCTGGATTCGATAATTTAAGTTCTAAGTTTTCAAGCAGGGAAGATTTTACTTCTAGTGTCTTTTCTAGTTTATCAAGTATATCTTGTTTATTTTTAATTTCAGCGCAGAGTTGGTTGAGCTCAAGCAGCTTACTTTCAAAATTTTCAGAGTTCTGCACAAAAGTCAAATTAATTGTTTGTAGATCTTCGTTTCTTGTTTTTATAGTCATCACTAAATCAGAGAGTTCCGTGTTCCGGGATTCAAAATCAGATTTCAAGGCTTTCAGGGCAGATTTCTTATCATCAATCTCCGTATGAATTTGGTCAATTGTTGTAAATTTTTTATCTATGTCTGAATGAATGCGAATGAGTTGAGCAGTATAGTTTTCAATATCTGTTTCTAAAATGCCTAATTCTTTAGTTCGTTTTTCTATAGTTTGTTCTAATAATGCTAACGATTCTGTGTTATAAATTTTATCTGTTTCGCTTGAACTGTCAAGTTTTGTTTTTTCTGTAAAATCTTTGAAGGATTTTTCCAGATGATTTGATTCTTGATTCTTCTTCTTGGGTGAATCAGATAACCTACAGAGTTGTTTGACACCGGCACTTGCCTCTAAACTTTGACAAAGATTGCGAAGGGTTTGTATTTCTGACTCCAAATCTTGAATTCTCTTCCCCTGATTGTTTAGCATTCCATCCTTCAAGTTGAGTTTAGCGGTCAGAGCAACAAGTTCTAGGGTTGGGTCATACTCAGATACATTGGCCTCAGAGGTTTCTAGACTAGCTTCAAAGGATTCAAGCCTAAAAGGATAAAATTAAATTAAGTTTTTAAAATGGAAATATCATGTGAAACTTGCCTTGTAATTATTTTTTGTTTGTCCCTCAAAAACTTCACTCGATCATCTCTAAAATAAGTAAAAATTGTTAAAAACTCGATTTCATTAAGATTGGAAAAATTAGTGATCAATGAAATATGATATTTTTTTTAAGTTCAATATTCAATTCTAATTCAATGTTAATTTTACCTAAGTTTTTCTTCAGTTTCTCTCAGTTTAAAAGATACAGATTCATATTGGGATTTCCAATTCAAACTGTCCTCTTTAGATAGGACAAGCTGACTAAAATACATTACAAAAAAGTATTTAAAAATAATCTATATCATTAATATTATCAATTAAACAAAATTTTATTGAAGTATTAATAAAAACTCACCTAGCTAGTTCATTGCAACTTGTTCTTAGCTCTTTCATTTGCAATTGATACCAATCCCTGGCTCTCAGAGCAATCTCTAATTCGGCGTTCAAATTGTTTTTTACTCTTAGTGCATTTTCTAATTCTTTAGAGTGTTCCTCTTCGCACTGCTCCGACATTAAGGTCTAGAAAGTTATTCGTTAAACCGGAGGGGCTCAAACATGGTTGGTTCCACTTGAAATTGAATTCAATGTTTCGAGATTGGAGTCGGCGCTCAATTGAAACTGATTTTTGGCGGTTCAGCGACTGGATTTATTTAAATTTGGCCTCGGACTTTAATTATGATGGACATCATTTTCTACGACCCAGAAATCAAAATTAAATCGGAAATTTAAATTTTGAATTCTAATTCAAATGGTTTAAATATTTTCCAACATCTTTTTGTCGCTAAATAATATGCAATACTTTAAAAGGAAAAATAGAACAAAATATTTTCATTTCTAAATAAAATATGAAATTATTAAGGAAAAGCAATAAATCATCATGTAAAATTTTAAAGAAAAAAGTACTAACAATAAATTAAGATTTTATTTACAAAATGTCTCTCATGACCAAGGATGGACCTGGGGAGTGGGGGGGTTATTAATACCTTATTTAGTTTTAACTGGGTGTAGACCTTGTCTAGAGTTAACAACTGATTCTGGATTTGAAGCAGGTTTTCCTCAAGTTCTCTGTTTTCTCTCGACAGCTGCACCATGCGTCTAGCACTCCAATGAGAATCCTGGTTCTTGTTCTGCCGCTCTCCGGAATATTGGATTGGGATTGGTTTTCGTTTTGTTCTTGTTTTTCTCTTGGCGGTAGACATACCATGGACCTCAGGCAAATCAGACAGAACTTCAAGTCTAGAGAAATAAAAAATTTAAGTTTTTGAAAAAACATGGAGTTGTTATGAAGCTAAAATTTACAGTGGTGTGAAAGTAAAAAAAATTCTCCACTTATATAAAACTTCTCATTTCACGGATACAACAAATATTAAATTTTTTTGTCAATTTTTACTACAGGAAAAGAAAAGGGTAAATCTTTTAATTTATGAAAAACTATGTGAAATTCATTTGAAATCAGTGATAAACCATAGAATAAACTCCTACAACCTTTTTAAAAAACATGTAACACCGAGAATATGAAGAATAAAAAAACAGTTCCAGAAAACAAAACATTATAATTCCAAGCTTTTCTTATTTTATTTCTAACCTAGAGCTTTTGTTTGAGGATGGATAAGTCCGACCCAATGAATCCAGTAGAAGAGAAGAATTTCTCTCTGAATTATCATTAAATATCCCGCTATCATTGGAAATATCCCCGCTCCTTGGAGAATATCCATCCTGGCTTGAATTACGAGAGTATTTAAATCTCTTGATTTGTTGGTGATCACCTAGAAAATGTTATGGATGAATTAAAGTACAACAGTTTTTCATACTTAATTCCAATTTTATTTAACGTTTTTTAAATCTATATCTTTCATGCTTTAAACTGTTTTATCTTGTATTGAGAGACCTGTTTATTCCTAAGTTAAGATTATTGAACTAAAATTTCAATTAAATGGTAAATTTTAAAGTTTAACTCAATTGTTTAAAATTATATTTTGCTTACAACTCACCTCCTCTTCTGTGCAGGATAGGTTTGCAAAAAACTTGCAGGGTTTGCTTTCCCCCTTCCACCTTAATATTCACCTCGCCAGGGGGGTAACGGAAACCCTGAAATAAAATCAATGGTAATGGAAGCTAAGGAATAGTGGCCATGTCCTAGATAGCTAGCTTGGGACATCCCCTCCCCTATTCCTATAAATTTTAACCAATTTTTAAGTATTTTCAACAACAACTGTAATTAGGTTAGACAAAACACCATTTACAGGGCCGAGTTGTCTGGGTAGAATTTTTTTTGATGAAAAATTTAACAAAAATAGTGAATTCAAAACTGTATGAGTTTTTCCCAAGATTCTGTGCGCCGGTGGGTCCAAAAAGCGTGGATTTTCAATCATGAACTTATTTGTGGATTATTAAAAATAAATCCTCAGGTTGAATTTAAGGTTCGTGGCAGTTCGCAATTTATTTCTAATTTAACCGAGATCAGCATATCTTGTCGTATACTTGCAAATCAAGATCATAAAACTAAAATTTTGTAAAACACAGATATTTCTGCTAATATAATACTTACTTTGAGAAAAGTTGGGTGCCCTCCGGCCTCTTGAAATGTTTCGAGCAGGGTTCCATTTTCAGTCATCTCTCAAGGCCCATCGTGGTCTAAACATTCATGTTAAAAATAATTAACCGAAAATAAAAAATTCGGGGGTTCTTCAGTACTTTTTAAGCAAATTCATTTGTTTTTTTCTCATTAAGCTAAATTTTAAATTAAAACATATTGAAAAATAAACTTTTTAAGATGTGAACTTTGTAAACTAAGCCGCTCTGTAAGGTTCGAAAGGCAGCAGCTAAATTCTGTTTAATTAGAGACCCTGGATACAATTGTAAACGCGGCATTATTTTTTTACTGCGCAATGGTGCATGCGTTCTTATAAATATTTTTAAAACATTTTAACTGCCTAACGACTAAGACGCACCTAAGTGATATGCTTTTCTAAATTAGAATACAAATTGGGCATTTTAAACATTCAAAGTGTACTACAAATATATGCAAATAAAAATATAAATCCACTGATTATGAATTATAAATAGTTCTTAAGCTATGTTTTTGTAACTGTTTCCTGTCCTAGTAGCGGCGCTCGACCCCATAGCCTGTCCTAGCCGCAGCGCTCGACCCAAAAATTGTCTTAACCTAAGCCTAAAGTTGTAAAATTTTTGCTGAAATAAAAATGGGTCATGTATAAAATTGATAAAATCGAACGTTCTCTAGGACAGACCCATGCTTGTATATAGTAGGTTAACATGTGTTCTCCCCATCAGGCTATTTTTATGTATTACCACTGATCATATATCTTTTTCTTTCTTATTTCCTTTTGATTCTTAAACCTTTTTAATTTACTAGGAATATACCTCTATTTGCATTTTTGTTTTCTCTCTTGTATTTAATAGTAATGTACGAAAAGTACTTTACAAAGGCAAATTTTAGTGTCAAGATTGCTGCTCAATACTAAATTATGTGTCTTCCATAACGGAGCTGTCGATATCAAAGATATCAAATTTTATATATTCCTGAGCAAGAAGAGAATATATAGCGAAAAGCCACTTGTTAACCCCGTGATTTTTTGATATTTCATGTTTAAAAGTATTCACGTTGTTCTTTTAAATAAAAGTTTGAAGAAGAAGAATATCTTTTAAAAATGTTTTACAATTGGTTGATAAAAATGCGTTAATGTTTGCAGTAAAAATGTTAAAGGTGGTGATTGCTCAACGAATGAGCGTGAGGTATGCTGGCTGGAATATATTTGGGAAAGGATCTAATAAAGCAGACATGTATGAGGTTAGTACAGTTGCTTTTAAGTCGCCACTCTTGTTATTGTACTCCTTTTTACACAAATGTTCCCAGATTTTATGTTCAAAAATTGTTGGAATTTGTGAAATATCAAATGTTGTCATTTTTCGGGATAAATTTCAATTTTGACGTTTATTGACAGATAAATAGACAGACAGCCAAAATTATATTGATTATTTTTTTAGTTGCCCGAGGAAAGTAAAGAAATGGAAGAGTATCAACAGCAAATACAGGTGAAGTGTTAAAATTTAGATAAAGAAATTATAAATTTGTTGAAAATTAATTTAAAATGATAATTGAAATTACTTTAACTCCTGTGGTTTTGGTAAAATGGTGGTATATATAGGTATTTAGATATTAACTTCGGTAACTATTTACTTAAAATAGTTTTACTGAAATTCGATTATCGTTACTTTGCACAATTGTTACTCTAATTTTGAACCAATTGCGTCATTAAATAATTATAATAATATGAAATAAATTTAAGAACTTTAAAACGTAGTTTTACTGGTAATGGGTGGACTTTTTAGCGCTAAGTGAATTATTAAATTGATAATTTACATTCTGTATTTAGAATCTTGAGAGTGAAGTACGAGAAGAATATTTAGAATCAAAAAGAAATAAATCCAGACTTTCTGCTTCTCACAGACAAATACTGCAGGCAGATTAAATAATTTTACAAATAATATATTTGGCCCACCCTGATAATCGACCCAAAATACATAATTTAACGTGAAGATCAAATTATTCCAAACTTAGTATCTAAACTGGCGCCATGATGTTGTCTGGTTTCAATATTTACATCCATAAATCTGAACACGGAATTTCTAGTGGCCCTCCAATTGTGGATTTGTCTGATGTGCAACGGTACCATAAACGACTGCCCGTATTTATAGCAGGAAATAAAATGCCCAAAAGCTTTGATGTGGCCTGTGAACGTACAGCGTAAACTAGCATGGAGTGTACTTTGTAACCAACAAGCCCCCCAGAACTCAATTTCTAGGAGTATCATAGTGAATCGGACCACAACTGATCAAAGATTTCTCGTAGAATTCTCATATTTAAATGGAAATGAAAGAAATAGAAGTTTAATATCTGGGATATAGGGATCTGCACCTTACGAGGGAACTATTTTTCAATATAGTAATAACCATAGGTAAGTTGTTACAAATAAAATGTTCTCAAAATTCATTAAATATTAACATTGAACTAGGGGATTTATTTATTTAATGTAAAAATTAATAGGTTTATACCATTGAAAATTGGAAATATATACGTAATAGAAATAAATGATAGAGACGCAAGCTTTTTTTGTAATATATTTGCTTGGAATTTTATTTATCTTTCCTGTAAAAAAATTATCAATATCAGCTGTTGAAAGACTGATGTTGGTGCGCGGGAAAGATCATCTCTGATTAAAACGACCTTCATTGATAAATTGAAATATTTTAGGTCGCGTAAATTTAAGCGTGGGTTGTTGGGAAGGTACGGTACAAAATCTGGAGTTAACCCGGGCATCGCCTGGCCTACGGAGAAAGATTTAGATTTAGGTATGACAAATAGAAATAGTGATTTAATATGGGTCTTTTTTTCCTTCTTTACCCGGATGCGGGTTTTTATTCTTTCCTTAGCTGGGTACGGTTTTATGCTAAATTTGATCGGTACCTAGTTTTTTATGTCTTCTTTAGCTGGAGCCGGTTTTATGCGATCTTCATCCGGATCTTGTTTTTTTATGTTTTCTTTAGCTGGAGACGGTTTTATGCTTTCTTCATCCGGATCTTGTGTTTAATTCTTTCTTTAGCTGAAGCCGGTTTTATGCTTGTTTTATTCGGATCTGGTTTTCTATGCTTTCTTTAGCTGTAATCGGTTTTATGCTTGTTTTATTCGGATCTGGGTTTTTTATGCTTTCTTTAGCTGTAGTTGGTTTTATGCTTGTTTTATTCGGATCTGTTTTTTATGCTTTCTTTAGCTGTAGTCGGTTTTATGCTTGTTTTATTCGGATCTGGTTTTNGTTTTCGATTTCGATTTCGATTTCGATTTCGATTTCGATTTCGATTTCGATTTCGATTTCGATTTCGATTTCGATTTCGATTTCGATTTCGATTTCGATTTCGATTTCGATTTCGATTTCGATTTCGATTTCGATTTCGATTTCGATTTCGATTTCGATTTCGATTTCGATTTCGATTTCGATTTCGATTTCGATTTCGATTTCGATTTCGATTTCGATTTCGATTTCGATTTCGATTTCGATTTCGATTTCGATTTCGATTTCGATTTCGATTTCGATTTCGATTTCGATTTCGATTTCGATTTCGATTTCGATTTCGATTTCGATTTCGATTTCGATTTCGATTTCGATTTCGATTTCGATTTCGATTTCGATTTCGATTTCGATTTCGATTTCGATTTCGATTTCGATTTCGATTTCGATTTCGATTTCGATTTCGATTTCGATTTCGATTTCGATTTCGATTTCGATTTCGATTTCGATTTCGATTTCGATTTCGATTTCGATTTCGATTTCGATTTCGATTTCGATTTCGATTTCGATTTCGATTTCGATTTCGATTTCGATTTCGATTTCGATTTCGATTTCGATTTCGATTTCGATTTCGATTTCGATTTCGATTTCGATTTCGATTTCGATTTCGATTTCGATTTCGATTTCGATTTCGATTTCGATTTCGATTTCGATTTCGATTTCGATTTCGATTTCGATTTCGATTTCGATTTCGATTTCGATTTCGATTTCGATTTCGATTTCGATTTCGATTTCGATTTCGATTTCGATTTCGATTTCGATTTCGATTTCGATTTCGATTTCGATTTCGATTTCGATTTCGATTTCGATTTCGATTTCGATTTCGATTTCGATTTCGATTTCGATTTCGATTTCGATTTCGATTTCGATTTCGATTTCGATTTCGATTTCGATTTCGATTTCGATTTCGATTTCGACTTCGATTTCGATTTCGATTTCGATTTCGAGTCATGATCATTCTCTATGTTCAGATATTGTCGGAGCTGAAGGCTGAGTTCGGATACGACGTGAACCCTGAGGATGAAATAATGAAGAACAGAATAGCGGAGAGGGAGAAGGTTCTGGTGAAAGAGGAGAGAGAAAGAAAGAAAGCGGCGAGGGCGGAGAAAGAAAAGGAAATGAAGATGAAATCGTGAAACTAGTCTGTTGGTTTATATATGTCTAAATCCATTTAGTGAGATCACGATCTCGTTGCATCGGATAATATTAAAGGACTTGTGACATAATTTCAAGTGACCTCTCATTAAATTTTTTTTTTAATTGTCATGTCCGATTCATAACGGTACCATTAAACATTGATTTGATCTTAGAAAGCTTTCCTTGTTTTTACAAGATAAATGTTTAATGCGAACAGTTTTCTTCATCATTTTTATGCTATAAAAAATATAATAAAGATGATATTTTATCTATATTTGATCAGAGAGGTTGAAAAGGTATCGTTGTGAATATGACATGTCATTTTATACATAGAGGCTCAATTGAAATTATGTATTCAGTTCCTTTAATGTGAAATTTGCATCTCCACTAGGTCTTGTGTTTGTCACTAAATTAATGAAATTTCAGAAAAGATGGATCTGCCCGAGATCAAGTACACTCAGTTGTTTATAAACAATGAATTTGTGGACGCGGCTTCAAAAAAAACCTTCGCTACGATAAATCCCTGCACAGAGGAGGTTATAGCGTTAGTTGCTGAGGGAGATAGGTAGTTCATTCATTTATTTATTCATTATTTTATTCATTTATATAATCATTCATTCATTCGTATTCATCCATTCATCATTGATTGTCTACTATATTTTTTGTTGCTTGTAAAAAAATCATTTTATCTTATTTATTTACGTATCCTTTCATTCTAATAATGGTCCTGAATTCACGCACAATTCATTCATTCATTCTTCCTATTATTCATTTTTATCTTGAATCACTCTTTCATTTTGTAATTCGCACTTGAAGTTTTTTTTCCTTTATATTTATTAAATCCTTCATTATGATAATTTTTTTAAATTAACATTTTTATTTGGGCAGACCGCCTGGTTTTTAGAGAGTCTCCTGATTTGGAGCTGTCTTGGGCAGACCGCCTAGTATAAGTCTTCTCCCTAGGGTGACCAGTTCGGTCAGCCCATGGATACGTTTCGGCGGCTAGGAGCGCCGACCCCTATTTCATTGAATGATGGGTTGTCCTTTAATAATAATAATAATAATAACTCTTCAAATCATACCGTCAGTTTGTTCGTAACAATTATCTTTCAATTATCAATTTTTCATTCGTTCAAAAACTTTCAGAGCTGATATAGATCTAGCAGTACAAGCTGCTCGTCGAGCATTTAAGATTGGTTCCCCCTGGAGAACCATGGATGCTAGCAAACGGGGCAAGCTCATGTTAAGGTAATTTTTATTTTTCCTCCTTATTTGTATATTCAAATAACTAGGCTTCCATGGCGCTTGGCGCTTCTCTCTTTTTTTAAATTAATTACTAATTATATCTTCTGCCTTTCAGTAGCCAATTTTCTCTTTTTTTCCCCGCAGATTTTTCTGATTTCATTGAGGGATTTTCAAGATTTTTACAATATATTACAATATATTACATTTTACATTTTAGCCCGGCTGGATTCCAGGCCGCATGTTGATGCACCCGGGTTCCCTTTCAGATTTTTTATTTTTTTATTTCTTATTACTTGTAAACCGGGTGATGTTAAAGACAAACATACAAGCAAAATATTTATAATTTTTTGTTTTAGTTTGGCTCAACTTATGACAAGGGACAAAGAATATTTGGCCCAGGTGTATTTATTTTGTTAATATTAACCTGGAGACATTGGAGAGGGGAGGATCAAACATTTTATATTTAGTTGGACACCTTAGACAACGGGAAGCCCTACCAGGAGGCACTGGGGGACATTGAGCAGTCGATTGATGTGATCCAGTACTTCGCAGGCTGGGCGGATAAAATACATGGAGATACTATACCAGCAGGTACATGTGTGACATTGAATATTTATCTCAAATAAAACTTATATGTTTTTGGGGTTTTAAAATGTACCTTGTAAAAATAAAATTTAATTTGGAAAATTGTTAATATTCGGCGGATATTTTATAATTGAAAAGGGGTCGATAACTCTCTTCAATTTGTCCTAAAAATATATTTGTAGATCTAAGTTGATGGAATAGAATTTTACATGGTTTTGGTATTTATTGCCTTCATAATGTTTCTTGCTTTTTAACAATATTCAGGGCAACCGGGGGAACTTTTAATCGAGGGCTGGATTTTTTTTGTAGTTCTATAATATATATTTAAAATTCGGTGATGTTGATGGACCAAACCTCTGTAGAGTAAAAAAACGTAGATGTTAGTTCCACATTTATTGAAAATATGTTTCGGTCTGGGTTGAGCCTCGTCAGTTCTAACGATGTAAAAACTATTAAATTCGGTAATAAAAATTAAAAAAAAAAAATTTAAATCACAAGAAAATAAAGAAACAAAAAAGATGATTCAAAATAAAAATTTGGGCTGTCAAATGGACATAAGGGAAACGAACTCAGATTATGAGATGGAAAAAAGATAATTTGCAAATATTCACTTTAAAAAAAAAATTGTTTTAAGACAATTTTTATTCCTTGAGATTGTTTCTGTCACAGAGGTTAATAACAAACTGTTTAGATGTATGTGTATGAAGTCATGGTATATATATATAATATATATATACTGATATATGTCTATATTTTTAGACGGGAATGTGATGACAATTACAAAGAAGGAACCAGTCGGAGTTGTTGGTAAGTTCATTTTATAGATTTCGTTCCAATCCTTAATCATACTTTTTAAATTAACATTTAAATGGACTGTAGGGGTAATTTCAAGTGAGCTTCCCTGTGTAAAGTGTAGTGTCTGATTCACAACAGTACCTATAACCCAATGACTGATTAAGGAAGACGGTCTTAATATAGAAATGTGTGTGATTGTTGATTTACTTTATTTGTAAGCTGCTTTATTCTTTAAAGATTATTATTTACTTTCAATGAGTCTCAGAAAATACGTATTTACATTTAAATATTTAAAAACCAGGTTAAGCGTAGAATTTTCTTTATTCTAATGAAATATGTTATAACGTCAGCTGTGTGGAGTTCACACTGTACGTTTTATTCTAATGAAATATGTTATAACGTCAGCTGTGTGGAGTTCACACTGTACGTTAACATACACTCGACAGTTGTCTAGTAACTTGTACACCATTTAAAATAAACACACGATTAACTCTTGATTAGACAAGGTTTAAAGGGTACCGTTTTAAACCGGATATTCCCCGGAGGGTCACTTGAAATTACGCATACAGTCCCTTTAACTCAAACTTATAATCCTAACTTCAACTTAAAGGGAGTGTTCGCAAAAAATTAAAGGGGTTTATTCATATGGCGAATAATAAACGCTTTTGATCCCTACTAATCTTACTTCTATCTGTTGAAGTAAGATTAGTAGCGATCCAAAGCGCTTATTTTTCGTCGTAAGCCTATACCCCCTTTCATTTTTTGCGAACACTCCCTTTAAGGTCAAATAATCCCCTGGAACTACCCTGTAGCAATGCTAGCCTGGAAATGGGGTCCTGCCCTGGCGGCAGGATGCACTTTAGTTCTTAAACCAGCTGATGCAACTCCATTATCTGCTCTGTATATGGGTCAACTCTCTAGAGAGGCAGGATTTCCCCCTGGTGTTATCAACATTGTTAACGGGTTCGGTGCAACTGCAGGCGCTGCTATTGCTGAACACATGAATATTGACAAGGTGGCATTCACAGGATCTACTCAAGTTGGCAGGATTATCATGCAGGTAAATACAAACCTTTGTTTCCTCCTCCCTACGCTGACTAAAGGTGTGAAAACCCCTAAGTTTTTTACCCTTTTTGGACCGATGACTTTCAAAAAATAAAAAATTCTAAAAATTCTGTCCAATATTGTTTAACCTTAGTAACATACAACATTTCCAAAATGGTATTTCACTTTAAAAACCTTGAAAACTTCTTTGAGTTATAACAATACAAAAAATGCTTGGCTATTTTGGAAAATATTTTAAAAAAATGTCAAAATTTCGTATTTGCGCTGGTTTGACCAAAATGTTTCCTATGAAATGTGTCGCATATCTGGGATTTTTTTCAGTGACACCCTATCATTCCTTCAAGTCCTTATATTTACAGTGCACGCTGCACCTGTGCACAACCGTTAACTTAATTATTTATCAGGCTGCTGCTCGAACTAACCTAAAGCGTGTATCTTTGGAGCTGGGAGGGAAAAGTCCTCTCGTTATATTTGATGATGTGGATTCAATAAAAAATAATTTTTCGATAATTTAGAGTTCTAACTAAAAAACTGATCCAAAAACAGGATTTTGTATCTTTTGATCTTTATTTGATCATGAAACAGTATTTTCAATCTATTTTATCTTAATTCTAATCCGGACACAGTATTTTCAATCTATTGACCTTGTTCTGATCCGGAAACAGTATTTTAGATCTATTCATCCGGATCCGGAAACAATCTTCATACTCTTAATCTAGGCTCACTTAAAGGGACTGCATGCTTAATTTCAAGTGACCTTTGAATTAAACAGGGGCTAGTCCGATTTACAAGGGTGCAGGGTTGTATATAAGTTGTGAAACTCATATTTTTGCACCCCCCCCTTTCAGAATCATATTTTTCCCCAAATCCACGACTTAAAAATGGGTCTTTTTCCAGGTTTCTGAGAGCAGAGAATTTTTTTGATTTTAGTAGTAAAATGTAGCGTTTTGTTGCCCTCAAAAAGTCAACTTTTTTCTTAACTTATTTCTGAAACTGTTTTTTGCAATTTTTCTCTTCTATCCTTCCCCCTTTTCCCTTTCCTCTTCTCACCTTCCCCCTTTTTCCTTCCCTCTTGCTCTGTGTCCCTTCTCTCTTCCCTTTTTCCCTTCCATCTTCCACTTTTCCCTTCCCTCATCTTCCTTTTCCCTTCTCTTTCCCCTTCCCTTTTCCGTTTTCTCCTTCCCTTCCCCCTTTTTCCATTTTATTTCCCTAAACGCAATGTAAGCTTATACTTTTGCAAAGAGAAAAATAAACACCACTGCAAGGGTTCCCTTTAAGTCTATCTAATCAATAATGCGGATTGCGGAAGATATAATCCTTTTCCTTGCATAAAAAGTATTTAATTCTGATAATTCCTCTTGTATATGCAGAAGAAATGCTCAAGTTGTTTTTGTAGAGAAACCCTAATTGAAAACAATTATTTTTATAATAATGCTTTGCTCATATATTTATATTTGTATGTATGTGTATATATATTTATATGTTAACTATAGTTGGCTAAACGGCTGGACCGAATGGGCGGACACTTTTTGAGGGAACCCTTAAATACCTCGGGTTTAACAAAGGCTATAAAAAAATCGAAAAAAAAATTCACGGGCAACGGCGGGCGCTATAGCTAGTTTTTTTATAGTTCAATCTTGATCATACAAAGCTTTAACGTGTACCCTTGTGAATTAGACATGTCCCTCGATAAATGGAGAGTCACTCGAAAATACGACGTCATTCCCTTTAATCCGGATTGTTTAGACGAGGCGGTGAATATTGCATACAATGCTATATTCACAAACCATGGACAAAACTGTTGTGCAGGCTCCAGAACTTTTGTACAGGTAACAGGCAGTTTCCTTATTCCTACAATTTATTTATACATATAATTATGCACGTGTAATCCCAGGAAAACTTTTATTGTTGAAAAACTGATTTTAAAAATCCCCGACAGAAATGTTTGAAGCTCCACTTAAAGAATGATTTTAAAGATGGCTACCAACACAAAGAATATTTAGGATGGTATTTATGACGAGTTTGTGAAGAAGGCAGCAGAGTTAGCCAAGAAAAGAGTAGTGGGGGATCCATGGACAGATGTTGATCAGGGGCCTCAGGTAACTTGTGATCTGTGCCCCCCTCCCTCCCCCCCCCGAAAAAAAATCTTTTAATTCCAGAAGAAAAAATTCAGCCACATATCATTAAAAATATAAGCAGGGGTGTATATTTTTAAGAATGATTTTCCTTTTTAAAGCTTCTGGGGAAAAATTATTTTCAAAATAGTGGGTCGGTGATTTTTCAGGAAAATATAGACCCTTGAATCTATCTTCCTTTGTTTGTTTTCAGCTATAAAAATGTAACAATTAATAATTTTGCGGTCGGTTTAAATATGCATGTTCGAACTATCGATCTTTTGATTTAAATATCTATTCTTAAATTAATTATCTATTGCTTAACGTTGCCTCTATTATTCAGGTCAATAAAGTGCAGTTTGATCGTATTCTTGGATTCATAAATCAGGGGAAGGAACAAGGAGCTAAACTTGTAGCAGGTAAAAATGCAATCCAAAGGGAGCCTTTTATTTTTTATAGAAGACTAAATTAGATTAATTTGTTAAATATAAAGCTAGGCTAAGATGATTAAGTTTGATTTGAGATTTAATTTCATTTGATATGATATATGATATATGATATATGATATATGATATATGATATATGATATATGATATATGATATATGATATATGATATATGATCTATGATTTATGATTTATGATATATGATATATGATATATGATAAATGATATATGAAATGGTATGATATGAACTGTAGTGTTTAACAAAAAAGGGTGGGTGGGTTCGACTTCGAGTTATAATTTTGACTTGTTTGAAGGTGGACAGAGAGTTGGAGATCTTGGATATTTTGTGCAACCAACTGTGTTTGCGGAGGTATGCAAATATTAAAGGGACTGTAAGGGAAATCTCAAGTGAATCTTCATACAAAGATGGCAATCCCAGAGTTACAACGGTACCATTGTAACCTTTATCTAATCAATAACGTTAAAGATAATGTCGTTTTTCTAAGTTGAAAGTGTTTTATTCTGATAATTCTTATTTGTTTTCCTGCAGTAGAAATGCATAAGTCTCTTTTGCAGAGAATCCACCATTGAAAAAAATCAGTTTTTCAAATCAAAACATTAATATCAGATTGTGTATACATGCTTGATGTTTCTTCTCCCAATATGCAAAAACGTTAAACTTCATGCACCAATTTTCAGACTATTCCATAAGTCTATTAAAAGCTGTTTGTTTGCAGTCAATATCTTCCATTGAATCTGACCGGTGTCCTAATTTAGTGTCATCTGCGAACTTTAGCATTATGTTTATATTTTCTAGATCAGTCGTTCTAACGAAATAATTACCATCAAAATCAATTACAAGCAAAAACTAATTTTTTTCCAACGCTAAAAAGGTATATGAAAAAGAGACTACACTTAAAAAAAATTTTATATAGTATACATTACCGATACTTCTCAGCCTCACGGCCGCCCTTCTTACAATCGGTGCTTAGGATCCGTTTAATTTTGATGCGGATCGGGATCCTGGATCCGCAGTGGAAAAATGGATCCGGATCCAGGTCCGCTTATTTCCATAGAATTCACTGTATTTTTTCAACAAAGCAGAATTTTCTAATTTATTGTTGTACTTTTTTCGCTTTTTTTTTATGCTAAGACTTGATGAACCATTCAGAAATCAGGAAATTTGTATTATCTCCCTTTTTTAATAGTTCAGATTTTGGTTTGAGCTTAAATTTTTTTTTGCAGTTTTTTGATATTTTGCCCCTTGGATCCGGATCCAGGAGGCCAAAACTTTGCGGATTAAATGGATCCGGATCCTAAGTACTGCTTACAATTAAGAGCTCACTCGTTAAGTTGATTTTTATATTAATTTGCTTTTCCTAATTATTTGATTGATTTTCAATCAATATGGTCCAAACATTCTCTATTCTTAGCGAGACAATTACTATTGTTTAATTTTGTTTGAAGGGTTAAGTTTACTTATTTCAAAGGTTACTGATGAAATGGTGATAGCTAAAGAGGAAATTTTCGGACCGGTTCAATCTATTCTTAGGTATAATCTTATATTTTAGAGTCGATTTTAATGAGATTCCGGGGTACCTATTCTTCACATTTGATAATTTGCCATTTGGGGAGGGAAAATGATAATTGAACGTCCAAAGGCAACTTTTTTCATTCTTTTTGTAAATTTTTATCCAAAAATTCATTAATTTTCCCCTGAAAACATTGATTTTCCTTAATTCAGCGAATAAAATCCCCCCCAAAAAATGTGCGCTCCGCAGTAGAATATATCACTTCTGGGGCGAAAAATATTTACAAAGGGTGGGGGAGAAGAAAAATTATTTTTTGAGAAAATGTACATCCCTGGTTATATAATGTTTAACATTAACACCCTGATTGCAATTATATAAAATGTATTTACTATTAAGAATAAGATATAATCGGGTGTTTATTGTCCAGGTTCTCAACTATGGAGGAGGTGATAAAACGAGCCAATGATACACAATATGGACTAGCTGCAGGTTGAACTGTTTTAATTATTAACACAGAAAATATTAATTTAAGTTTTTATACAATCTATTCATATCTGTTCGGTTCTATAGTAGTAAACCTATTGTGTAAGAATTCCCATTATTACACGGTACAGGAGAACAATTTAATATTGTTCGCTTCCTAGTGTTCAAGAATGCTTATTCTTTGCACATGTCATGCTAACTCTGTGACGCACGTACTCCTCAGGGAGGCAGAGGGTTTCAGGGAGGGGTGGTTTCCTGGTAACATTCGTGTTATTGGGTTGTCATAATAGATAGATGTGTTTTTTGGGAGTTCTGACCCGGGATATAATGTAGCTCCAGGAGTTCTGACGCAAAATTTAAAGTTGTTAAGAAGTTCTTAGTTCCTACCGGGGATACAATGTTGTTGTTAGGAGTTCTTACCCTGGATATAATGTTGTTGTTTAGGAAGTCTGACCTGGGATATAATGGAGTTGTTTAGGAGTTTTGAGCCGGGATATAATGTAGTGGTTTAGGAGTTTTGACCCGGGATATAATGTAGTTGTTAAGGAGTTCTGACCTGGTATATAATGGAGTTGTTCAGGAGTTTTGATCCGGGATATACTGTAGTGGTTTAGGAGTTTTGACCCGGGATATAATGTAGTGGTTTAGGAGTTTTGACCCGGGATATAATGGAGTTGTTTAGGAGTTCTGACCTGGGATATAATGTAGTTGTTTAGGAGTTCTGACCCGGGATATAATGTAGTTGTTTAGGAGTTCTGACCTGGGATATAATGTAGTTGTTTAGGAGTTCTGACCTCGGATATAAAGGAGTTGTTTAGGAGTTTTGATCCGGGATATAATGTAGTGGTTTAGGAGTTTTGACCCGGGATAAAATGGAGTTGTTTAGGAGTTCTGACCCGGGACATAAAGAAAGCATTAGAGTTTAGCCACAGTATTGAGGCAGGCAGTGTTTGGATTAATTGCTATGATCATACTCTAGCCCAGGTAAACTATTGTAAAACCCATCAGATTGGAAAAGGAAGACGACTGTTAGAGTCAAGTTATTATTTAAATAGTCCGATGGGCGTAAAACACGGTGAATTTGGACACATTCCACTTCATAAATTGAATTTTACGATACTGCTTTACAATAAATAACACATCAAATACACATATTTGATTACTGGTCGTCTTCCGATTCCGCTGTTTTCTGGGCCTTACTTTCAGATATCTTAAAGCTAGAAATGAAGATTTTGGAAAGAATTTCGAAAAACTCGATTTGTTCTTGAGTAAATATAAAATATAAAAATGTAAGATTGTATAATCTTATAATGACATTTTCTGAGATATTCAATTAACTTTGTCAACTTCTTTTTACCTCATAGCAAAGAAATTGGCAAAGGAATATGTGATTTCTTAAAGAAAGTGCAAGCATTCTACCCTTAGGACAATGTGATTTCTTAAAGAAAGTGCAAGCATTCTACCCTTAGGACAATGAATAAATATTTTCCAATGTCTTGTCAATTATATTTACAATTTTTGTTTTAGACGCCGTTTGGAGGATTCAAGCAGTCCGGTCATGGAAGGGAGTTAGGACCTGAGGGGGTCAAAGAGTACATCGAGACTAAAACCATCACGATGGCCCTCAACCAGAAGAATTCTTAAGAGCCGATCTATGAGTGGACGTTGCAATATCAGTTCTGGATATTTAACCTGTTTTAAAAGCTTGAAAATGTTTACTTTTGCTGTGATTATCTAGTTTAAAGAGACAGTAAGCGTAATTTTAAGCGGCCCTTCAAGCAAAGAGGGCAATTTCCGATATGCATCGGTACCCTTTAAACCTTTGACAGTTCATCGAAGGTGAAGATTTCCCTGTTAATATCTCTCAATTGTTCGGATTCCTTTAAATCCAGAGTGAGTGCTCTTGTACAGTCTGTGCTTGTGTAATGCAACGCAAAAAATTCAAAATTAAATGTTTATTTTCTACGACTTCTATAAAGTAAATATTAATATTTCTTAAATGTACAATGTTTAACGATTTAAGTTTTTGTAGATTATTAAGAATACGTCAGACATCCCTGATCGGTCCAAAGTTTAAAGGGAACTGTTGTGAATCGAACACGTCACTCTACAAATGGAGGGTCACTTGAAATTAAGCCTACAGTCCCTTTAAGTTGAAAGGTTTTCGGGGGAAATATTGTATATTTTAGTATTTTCAGGTGAAGTAGTCAAAAATGCGTATAGAGCGTTGTTATTTCTGTGGTTCCTCGGTATATCCGGGAAAAGGAACAACCTTTGTAAGGAACGATTGCAAGATATTCAGATTCTGCAGGTTTGATTGTTTGCTTTTGTAGTTTTTTTTCAACTCCTAAGGAAAAGTTAATGAGTTTGGCAGCGTTCAGTTTCAATAATAAATGTTGCGCCTGAACAATTTTTTTAAATGTGTAATCTATAATCAATAATCTAGCCTTTTCTTAACTGGCATTGTTTCAATTTGCATTTTCCACGATTGTTCACTATTAAGTTGTATTGCTATTTGAACTACCATTTTTTATATTTCTTTGCTTAAAACCTTTAAAGTTTTATTTTTCTGATATTTTTTTTATTTTTTCTTAGATCAAAGTGTCATCGGGCCTTTAAGAAGAAGAAGAACCCTAGGAAGGCAAAGTGGACCAAGGCCTTCAGGAAATCCGCCGGAAAGGTGAGAATTAAGTAATTTTCATTTTTTTTAAATATATTCAGTGTTTGCAGGATTTATGTATACTTTTACCCGGGTTCATAAAATTGAGGAGCCCTTTTTTCATTTTTTTTGGAACTCATTAAAAGAAAAAGTTTTATAAAATTTTAATTTTTAAGATCAAAGAATATTTATTTAATGATACCAGCAATCACCAATCTTTAAGGTCTGAAGAGGATATAAAAATATATCAAAAATAATTTCCAACCCCGAGTGATAACTGATAGCCTTTTTGCCAATATGGACAGTTTCACATTTTATTTTTACGAAAAACTAAATTGATAACGTAATTAATATCTGTCTCGGAAAAATGATTTCTCCCTTGTACAGTGCGTATTCGCAATTCATGGAAATGGCCAATTTCCCTGTCGTCGATCCGTGGGCACGATTCTTTTTTTCTTTGTCCTAGTTACTGAACTTGATTTATTGGGAGAGGTGATTGAACTACCAACCGTCGCCCTTCAAATCTCAAATTACATAAATCTTCATTAATCTTTAACTTTGAATCGGTGATTCGGGATTTGAACCAGTGGCAGGAAGTTCAACGACTTCTCGCAAATCATAAAATCTGGTCATAGGGTTGTATGGTTGTTATTTTATTGTTCTTGCCTTATTTATTTTTAATTGTAACCTGAAAGATGTTAATATTCAGGAATTGGCGGTGGATCCCTCCTTCGAGTTTGAGAAGCGTCGTAATATCCCGGTCAAATATGACCGAGAACTCTGGAACAACACCATCACGGCGATGCAGAGGGTCGAGGTCATCAAGAACAAGAGGCAGAGTCACTTCATCTTCCAGAGGATGAAGCTGGCCAAGAAGATCCAGAAGGCCAAGGATATCAAGGAGGTTGAAAGAGATCTTGCCCTTATCAAGAGCCCTGCGGCGGGTCTCAAGCGGGCCAATAAGGTAAGCCTTTATAAACTCTTATTTTGTTCGAATAGATTTTAATAGATTTTAATTAAATTGTTCAGGAATTGGAGGAAGAAGATATGGAGTTGGCTGGTGAGATTGATTCAAGCATAAACCTTGTTCCTCAAAAGGTTCGCGCCCGTGAGGAAGCTAAGATTGAAGAAATCCACGAGTCTGATGAAGAAATGGCGGCAAACTAAACAAGATGGTGGCAAAATAAGATTCCTCCACAAGAAATTTATCTCCCGCATTTTTTTTTCATTTACATGGCATATATTCGACGACTGAGATATAAATGTATCTTGATTGACGCCATGGATTTAAAAAATATTTTTTTCAGGCTGTGATTAATTGTAATAAAAATGGATTTGCTCGGTTCTATTCTTGGCTCAATGGCGAAACCTCCACAGGTATCATATTAAATAAATATAGTTACGATTTCATCTTTATTCAAAGATAAATTACCGAATTAAAGTTAAAAGCGAAAAACAAATACCAACATTTATAATTAATACATTTTACAAAAAGTATTTACACTTTTTAAATCGTATTTTAAATTTTTAATCAAACCATTCGCTAAAATCAACAGAATTTCTTATTTAAATGTGATATTGAAGTGCTGAAATATACAAAAAGATTATTGAAGGATTCGGAAAGAAAAACCCCCAATTTTAGTAATAAATGTACGTTTGATTATGATAAAAAAGGTTGATAAACAAAAAAGACAACTGATAAAAAATTGAAACTATGCTTGATAGGCCAGTGAAGAGGAGAGGCAGAAGAAGAAAAAGGAGTTTGAGCTAGTGAAGAAGATGGCGGAGAAGGAAAAGCAGCTGAAGCTGAGGTTCAGGGAGAAGGCGGAGGAAAAGATAAACAGTTTCCTCCGGGACGGAGATCTGAAAACTTATAAATTTCCGCCCATGGACAAATTCCAGCGGTAACTAATTGTTTCCTCAATTATTTTTTTCTCTTTTGTTATGTAGGCCTTATTTACAAAGTAATTGTGAATGCAAACATTGAGAAAATTACAAAAGAAATTACAGTCCCAGTCGGGCCAGTTAGCATTTTGCAAAATTGACTGGCGTGAATTCTTGAAAATTATATTTAACTTGTTGTAGAATTTTTAAGTTAATTTGAATCTTAAAGTTGGAAGAGCAAAAATATGTTTCTTGGTCTTAATTTTTCTTTACGATTCTGAAAATAGTTTTTAAGAAATATATGTTTAGAAGCATTATCCACGATGTAGCCGAGGTGGCAGGTCTAGTCACATTCTCATTCGGGGAGGAGGACGTAGATAGATACATTCAGGTAGCAGACAGTGACACCTGACGCCACAAGACAGGGAATCGGTACAGTGGGCATAGTAAAGACAGTTGGAACAGGACAGGGACACTAGACATAGGAAAGACAGACAGGGACACTGGATTGTGGGCACGGTACAGACAGGACAGGGACACTGTACATTGGGCACAGTACAGACAGGACAGGGACACTGGATTGTAGGCACGGTACAGACAGGACAGGGACACTGGACAGTGGGCACAGTATAGACATGATTGGGACACTGGACAGACAGGACAGGGACACTGGACAGTGGGCAAAGTACAGACAGGGACATTATACATCAGAAGACAGGAAACTGGACATGAAAGGGGTACTGGACAGGACAGGGTCCAAGGACTACTGAAAAGTGAGCAATACATAACTGAGACACTGAACAGAACAGAACTGGGACACTGAACACTACTGGACAGCACAGTGACACTTGATACTACAGGAAAGTGACAGGATCAAATGACACTTAATGATTGATTTAATCAATGATTGATTAATTAATTGATTAAATCATTGATAAAGTGATTGATTCAGTGATTGATTAAATCACTGATTAAGCCATTGATTAAATTATAGAATAAATCATTGATTAAATTTAGAATAAATGATTAAATCATTGATTCAAATCATTGATTAAATTATAGAATAAATCATGGATTAAATCATAGAATAAATCATTGATTAAATCCTTAATTAAATAAAGGTTTGGAAAAAGGAGTTTTCTCCGTGCGAGGGAGAGGTTGCTGCTCTACGACGAGGGGAGGAATGGGACCCGGTCAAATTCAAACAGGTTTATTACTTTCCTTTAATACTGCTTTTCCTTTCTGCTCTTGTCTATATTTCTTTTCATGTCGGCAATGATAAATCTTTGGATAAGATTGGGTAGATATTGCAACAGGAGAGTTCAATGCTGGCGGGGTCAGTTGCCCGACGCTTCGGAACTAGAACTAGATTTGTAAAAAAGTTGCGTCTTAATACCCTTGTATCGTGTTCCAATCCGTTCAATGAAATGTTGATATTTTTATTAAAAATTTATGTTTATGATTTAAATATTTGTTACGTGGATTATAAGATATATATTGAGGGGTTGTTTATTTGTTGAAATTTTTTTAAGAATTTGCTTTTAAAAAAAATCTCGGAAATTTTGCAAGAAAAAAAAATAAAAACTTTCTAACGTTGAATTGCTAAAATATTGACTTTGGTTGCTAAGAAATTAAAAACATTTGAAGAAATGGTAAAACAGTGCTTGGATTTTGTGGGGATTTAATTTAAAAAAATGAACATTTTTAATTCAATTATTATTTAGAAGCTAGAAGAAGAAGCTTGGCAAGAAAAACTTGAAGCGGAGAGAGCTAGAACTGTAAACAAAATAATACCAAAGACAGATTATAAGGAACATACACAAACATAAGCATTCATTCATACCACACCACGCCCTTCTTTCATTTGTCTAAGTAAGTTCCCTGTTATACAGGGTGTTTCTATAAAAAAGAAAATTTCATTTCGTTAAGAGAGAATAAAATGCTCCCCAAAAAAATCTTTAAACTATATACATCCAAGAAAATAATTTTAAAATAGTTGACAATCTTACAAACTTACGTAAGAACGCAAAAAAACCTAGGTCAGAAGAAACTGTCAGTTTAAGATTAGGTTTTCTGTATAAAAAAGTCAACCCGCTCAACTTCGAATTTTAAACCACACCATTTCCGTGGTTTTACCGCGTTTCCTTGTCAACATTTGATGAAAATCTGTTTTATGGTTCACGAGTTAGTTAGGGTCGGACATCCGTACAAACAGATAATATCCTTAAATGAAAAAACCCCATCATGAGAAACACTCTGTATATACGGAGGTAGGCGATTTTATCAATATAGTGAAGACGACTTTCGAATAGTCGATAATATTTTGTATTCAAATTTTTTAATAGTCATCAGCTTTGATTGTGTTTGATTGTTTAGAATAAATATGAACATTTAATTGGTAAAGATTCAGCTTTAGATGCAGCCAGGTGATTTTATATGTCAAAGGGTCTATGTATTGTATATTGTCTTCAAAATTCCCAATTTCTAATTGATCAATTTTGACTTAACGGAAATATTAAGTAATTTGTTGAGAAAATGAATATATTTTGCCGATATTTTTCTCAGGTTTATTATAGATCTTGTTCTCGTTAAAAAAATTATTACTTTTTTCATATGTTGTTATCGCTGGAAGTTTCAGTCCCATTTTTGTGGGGTGGGGGGTGGGGTGGTATAAAGGCAATTAATAAGACTAGCGTCGTTCATAAAGCGACTTAAAATATTAGATTTTGGATGAAATATAAGAAAGATCGTTTTTGCTCAAACAAATGATGTTTAGGAAAACGGAGACTAATAAATCATATGGTATGGTCTCTGCAGAATCTAAAAAGGTAGGAAAAGGAATCTTCTGAAACGAGTAATGTTAAGTGAGCCTCCCAGGGGGCGGAAACGTGATGTGTGTGGGTCTGTATCAAAAGAGTGTGTGTAAGGTTACCGTACCAAAGGTGTGTACTGTAGGTTTATACAGGACGTATGAATCTCGGTATTTGTACAGTCAGGAGAGTACATTTGTTTATTGTTAATTGTTTACTTAAAAATAAGTTTAAAATGCATGTAATATATTAATTACATACTTAAGTCAACACTACAAAGCCAAATTTTCATGCAAAGAATATAATTTGATTATAGTTTACAACAAATATAGTCGTTATTCAAGCTTAATTATAATTGACAACATTGTTCTGCAATTTCCTTCCTTGACTGTAATCATGTTGTGTGTCTGTACCAAAAGAGTGTGTGTAAGGTTTACCGTACTGGTCTGCAAAGCAGTACGACTGGCTTTCTCATGGCAGACCAGCACCATTTCCTTTCCCTTTATTCCTATTCCCTGGAGCCTCCATGCAAAGATGGCAATGCCCAATCTACAATAGTACCCTTGAAATCAATAACATGAAAGATATTGTCGTTTTTATGGATCTTACAGAGTCAATTTTTGTAAAAGGTTAAGGGTATCGTTGTGAATCAAGAATTGTCATCTTTGCATATGGGGAGGGTCACTTAAAAATACTCAATTCTGAATGTGGCCTCATGGTTTGTCGATGCTTAATTGCTCATGGTATATTTATATCTTAACGATCATTTTGAAAATATCCAATATATATATGTTTAATTTAGTTTTTAAAATAATATTTTAATTTTGTTGCAGGATAAACGTACAGTAGAACAAGTGCAGGCGGAGATTAGAGCTAAAAAACGTCTTAAACAAGAGGTGAGGGATTCCTAAAATTTAACGGACTGTATACGAAATTGTTAAGTGACCCTCCATTTAAATAGTGGTTCGCCAGAGTCACAAAAGTACCGTTTAAACCTCCATCTCTGATGGAAAAGGAGGATATCGTCGTTTCCGTTTCTGAACCCGTGTTAAATTCTGGTAATTCTGAGAAAACAACATTATCTCATTTAATCTTGGTCAGACAAATGTTAAAAGAATACCGTTATGAATGGTAAATCGTTATGAATCCCGTTATGAGTCGTAAATACCGTTATGAATACCGTTATAAATCGTAATTACCGTTATGAATCTAAATACCGTTTTGAATACCGTTATGAATACCGCTATGAATCGTAAATACCGTTATGAATACCGTTATGAATCGTAAATACCGTTATGAATACAGTTATGAATCGTAAATACCGTTATGAATACCGATATGAATGGTAAAAACCTTTATGAATCGTAAATACAGTTATGAATACAAATATGAATCGTAAATACCGTTATTAATACCCTTATGTATCGTAAATACCGTTATAAATCGTAAATACCGTTATAAATCGTAAATACCGTTATGAATCGTAAATACCGTTATGAATCGTAAATACCGTTATGAATCGTAAATACCGTTATGAATCGTAAATGCTAATCTTAAAATGTAAGTCCCTTGAACTTGGTTTTACTATAAAATCCCTTTAATGTTTCAATAATCTATATAAACTCATTTTTCTCTAGGTCCCTGAATTATATTTTAATTAATTGTATTCTTTTGAATTATTTCAAGTAATGATTTAAATTGCTTCAGTTGTTTGTCTGCGTGCATTTTTTCGCGCATGTTTTCCTTGTGAATTTTTAAATTTTACAAAGAAGATAAAATTGTATTTAAAGTTTTAAAAATACTAACAAAAGGTGTATCACGCTCAAGCACTCTCAATTTCCAGCTTTATGCTGTATTCCGTAAATGCTTTTTTAAAATTTTGTTTCCAATTTATATCTTAATAAAAATATAAATATTTTATTTCAGGCCTGTTTGGATTCGAGTCAACCTGCTTGCCCTCCAAAGTTATGATGGGTTGAGACAAAGTATTGTAAAGAGTTTATACAGTGCAGTATATATATTTGCGTACTGTCAATCTACCGTCCTAGCACACAGAAGAATTATTGATAGCTTTAAAATTAAATAATACAATATTTGAGGGATACAAACTTTTTACCCTTTTTATTTTACATGACTGATGTCTGATAATGATGTAAAAATAACCAAGATGTTTAAATTCATTTAATTAGGAATCGGAAAACTTGAGCTTTGTTGAATTTATGAATTATCTTATTTCTTGTAAAAAAATTATAAACGGTGTCTTTAAACAATTCCTAAAAGGAATGTCTTCGTAAATTCAAGGAATCCTCGATTTAAAGATGTGACGGGTATGTATTCACAACCCACGCACCCCTGACTTTTTAGTAAAAGTAAATTCAACCTAAAGTCAGACCGAGTCAACCTTGTTGCACCGGCTAGTCCTATTGATTGTCTGCTTTATTTACCCAATGTCCAGGCGATACAGTACAAACTGGGACCGAAAAGGTTGACCCGGCTCGAAAATTCAAATGTACTACGGCTGTACGTGAACCTTTTTCTGATAAGTAATATTGAAGATAACGTCATTTTTCTATCTCAAGAGTGTTTTATTTTGAAGATTACACCCCACTGTTTCTGTAAGTAGAATTCTGCATGCCTTTTTATTAATGAAGGTCGCTTTAAATTACGTTTACAGTCCCTTTAGAGTTTTTTAGCAATTATAATTACTTAATTCTATTTTTTCTGAATTAAATGAAGAAGAAAAATCCGTCAATTTGTTCATAGTTTACTTACTGCTGCTCATGTATTATGCTATTTAACTTGTTAATATTTAAATAAAAATAAATATAATAAAAACCATTTATTGTATCAACAGCGTTTAGGTTAGGGAGTATTATTCTAGGCTATAGAAGGTCTCAATAGTACAATGATAACCTTAAAACTCTAGAATAGAAAGTTATGATTAAATTAGTCCAATGGACATCATAAACAGCAGTTGAACAGGCCAATTTCACTTAACAAGTGTATTAATAAGTCGGTAGTAAAACAATTTGCTTTGTAATAGCATTAAATACACTATTACTATTTTTATCTTTTCCTATTCCACAGTTTTCTGGTTCTCACTGTATTAAAGTTAAAAAATCCATCTTTTCGCATCTGCAAATAAAGATTAAGGGATCAGCGTTCTTAATTTAGTTCTTGGTAGGCAAACTTTATATCCATAAAAATCATTGTATCAAAAACAATATTGATTTTTTCGGAGGCAAACGGCTGGTTTCGAAATTAAAACGTTAAAACGTTCCTTCCATAAACTACATTGGTCGATAACTTGACGTCTCCTATATTGGTCGTCAAATTTACTGAGAAATATATATCTATCAGATAAGAATTTAGCATGAGACATCTAGCGGCCAATATATTGTCCCCCAAAGTACGTGAACTACACGACCACTTTCTATGGAGAGTATACACTTGTTTTTTCCATGGCCAAATCTTTTAGTACACCATCAAAATACTACTTGTCTTTAACAATGCCTGGAGATGAGAATAATCCTAACCTCCAGCCCGCTGGAGCCTCCGCTGGAACGGGAGGCCAGTAAACTGAATTAAAACAGGATCGATTTATTATTACAGTTTTGGGTCGTCAATAAAGCCTCATTCTTGGTAGGATCCCTGTGTGATTTGTGAGATGTTACAACGGAATTGTTGGGTTTACGAATAAAGGGGATGGTGGAGTTGGCACATTTGATGTAGGGGGGGGGGGGCTGCCTTCATTTTTGGTTCAAATCTTCCAATTTTTTGGCTGCACGCCTAATTAGTGATCGAAATTCCTAAAATAAAATAAAATAGAATTTGAATGACCTGTAATGACCTCCACAAATAGAAAATACTTCAACTATGGCTTAATGCATATCAAAC